ACTGAGACTAGCTGAGCTACATAGTGAGACACTGTACAAAAACATAAACTAAGACAAACAACAGCCACAAGAGTCCTTGTCAGGCTGATTTAGGGAAATAGGATGCATCTGTCTTCTTTTGTTTCTGTTTTCAGGACTTCTCTGTCTCTTAGACCATCTCCAAAGCTAGAGAAGCCATGGGGTCCAGCTCTTTCACCACGGTCCTCAAAACTTCCTAGTAAAAGCCACTTATGGAGCACTTAGTGTACATTTAAAACATTGAAGATTCTTCAAAACAAAGCTGAAATTTTTACTAGAAATATTACTATCAGTAGTCTCACTTTTAAAATATAGAAGTTAAGAATTAAGTAATTTAAAAATATATATGTTATTTTGGAGGCAGCCTTATCTCATGCCTGTCATCCCAGCACTTAGGAGGCAGTGGCAGAAGGGTCAGTAATTGAAGGCCAGCCTTGGTTGCATAGAAAGTCTGAGAATAGCCTGGACTATATGAGCCCATGTCTCAAAAAACTGATAACAGACTCTCTCTCCCCGCCCTTTCTTCCTTCTTCCCCAATTCCCTTTATTTCAATAAAACCCCCCACTTAAGGTCTTTAAAAAAAAACAAACAACCTAATAACGACAACAAAAATCTAATTAAAATCAGGTTTTAGCTAAGCATGGCATTATACACCTTTAGTTACAGCACTAGGCTGGGAGAGACAGGTGGAGTCTGTGAATTCAACACCAGTCTAGTCTACATAACACGTTCCAGGCCAGTCAGAGCTACGTAGAACTCCGTTTTTAGGTTGGGAGTGTGGCTCAGTGGAGCATGAATGAGACCCTGAGTTCAATCCCAGCACTGAAAATAAAACTATTAGACCCAATCTGTACTGCAGCTAAGATTGGAGTCCAAGGTCACACCTAGAGTTCTTTTCTGAGATAATCTGCCTCTGTCAAACTTGACCAGAACCAGCCTTCAGACCAAGAGAGGAGACCTTTCACCACAGAAGTTCTAGGAGGTGATTGCCCGCCTGAACACGCCCTGACCCGTGTCCCTTGGATGGGACAGCACTAGAAAATGTTGGTTACAGGCCCAGTCTGCCTCCCCACGGCATCCTCCCTTAGGGACAGGCAAGACAGAACCTATGTCCTCTGAATTTAGCATCTGCTTTCCACAGACCTCTGCTGAGTGGCAGGCATGCCCTGGAGGGGGAGGCAGGAAGTTGATCTTCGAAGGAGAAGCTGTCTGGGATGGAGAAGTGGGCAAGAGAGTCCCTTGCTGAGAATTGCACAGATGAGGTTCAGGGACCTGTGTGTGTTGAGTCCAAGTGACATAGCAACAACAGCCAAGCCTCCTGGGTCTTGTGTAGAAAAGTAACCCCCTGCCTGGAGATCAAGGTCTGGTGTTCAAGGCTTTTAGGACTGTCTCCTCTGCACAAGGACACAAAGCGCTTGGGAGTTTGTGGACAAGCTGGTGTAGAACAAGTGCCCACACAGAAAGGTGGTCAATTGAGAGCAGAGGACAGGCCCAGGGTTCTGGGGGCACTGTCAGATCCAGCAATATTGGTGGTGGAGGACGATAAAATAATGATGCTCAGGGGAAAGGGAGGACCAAGGATGAAGTGGAAATGTGCTGGACTGTAATACAAACCCCTGGCTCCTCACTTCCTGCACCCTATGCTATGATTCATTTTCTTGTTCTGGGACATGTGGGGGCAGGGAGAGCAGGGAGAGTGGGGTGGGGGAGGAGGAGGGAGAAGAGAGGAGAGAGAGCACAGGGAGGGAGGGAGAGAGAGAGAGAGAGAGAGAGAGAGAGAGAGAGAGAGAAGTGCTTGTGTCCCTGGGGTTTTTTCAGACAAAGCTATTATCGAAATGCCAACCAGCTCCAGCCTGGCTAATTTGCATATTCCATGCTGAGCTCTGGGAAGTAAGATGAATATGCATGAGGGCTTGGGTAAGATCTGGGGCTGCTGGGCTGCGGGCTAAGGTGGCTCATTGTTCTTTAGAAGCAAGGCCTTAGAAAGCCAAAGCACCTTCCGGGTCAGCAGAATGGCCTGTGCTTCCCTCCCAACGGAAGGAAGAGAGCAAACCCCAGGCTCAGTCAGAAATCCAAAGGATGATGCCGATCCTCTCAGCCTCACAAAGAAACACATAATCAGGCGCCATCAAGAATGGGAGTGTCTCTCCTCTAAAAGTAGCATATAATTACTCCCTTCTCGTGCATGCTAATCAGGGAGGCTGGCTCAGGGCTGAGAGTCACCTCTCCTGGCTTCCAGGAAATGAGGCTCCTCTCCCTACTTTTTGCTTTCTCAACAGGAAAAACGGGCACTCTGGGGTGCCCCAGTCTCCTACATAGACCCTATGATGCCCAAGATGACCAGGCTGTGGTGGGAGAGCCTAGGATACAGTGGGTGCTGAGCCGTGCTCATGGGATGGATTCAGTCAAGTAGCTGAAGATTTAAGTTGTGATACATCTTATAGCAGTGGGTTCAGTGCTAGGGGTATAGACCAGTTGGAAGGACATGCCTGTCTTGGGAAGGCCCTGATCAATGCTTACTCATTGACTGTCTCACAGTCTCTATGACCACCAACTGAAGATGGTTCTGCTCCGGACATTGAAGCCAAAGTGGAAAGGGCTTATTTTAGAATTTCACAGAAAAATTCCAATTTCGTCCTACAAAACTTGGAGCCACAAATCACTTGCCATGTTGTTTTCTTCCTAAGGGATCATGACCGTCTCTCATCCTAAACCAGAAAAGGTTGGGGAAATGCTCACCCCACCCCACCCCACCCCACCCCACCCCACCCCACCCCACCCCCATCATGTGCTTCCACTCCACTTAATTAAAGGCTGGCTTCCAACACCATAATAAGGTTTCTTCCCGGGACTTGATCAGACTAGGCTTAGAAAAATCTTTTAATAGAAACTCACTTGAATTCATTGACCTCCCAGCCACCCCGCCACTAGTCTACCTGGGAGGGCTCCTGTGGATTGGACTCTCCACTACTGATTGAGTGTTGACTTCCTAGATTTGGTGTGGGTTTTGTGAGGGACCTGAAAACGCAGCTCACTTCCGCTCCATCCCACACTGCTGTGATACTCCAGAACATGAGCAGAGGGTGCACCTGACAAGAGCCTTCGTTTCACCTGTAAACACTGGCTGAGCCCCCTTAGGTTCCGGCTCTAGGCTCTATTCAGAGCACAGTAAAGCTTTCCCAAAACTTGATGCAAACACTAGCTAGCTACGGGGAGGGCTTGTTGGAGGTGAGCTCGGACAGGCCAAGGATTTTTTCGTCTCTTTTCTCAGCATACTCAGTACTGCTGGACACCAAACCTTGACTCACAGGGATAGAGGGAAGAAAGGGGAGGGGGCACAAAATCTTGTGGGATGGCTTTCATGAGCCCTCTCGACTCCTGTTGCAGAAAGGCTGACAAAATCAAGGCGCCCTTCTCACCCTCTCTTTCCGATATCCTCCTCCTGGAATAAGAGGGTCCCAGACACTTGAGGGTTATTTTTAACTACCACTGGCTTTGATTAGCTTGTCTCCGGCTGCTTCAGACACCTGCTGGCAGGATAAATTGGGGAAAAAGAAGTGGCTGACCCAGATCTGATAAACTCAAAGTAGGAAAAGTGTGTGTGCATGCATACGTGTGTATGTGTGTGTGTGTTATTTCCCTTTTGCTAAAACTGTCGAAAAACCCTACAACTGGCCCAATGTTAACCTTCCCAGTGATCTCCTGTCACCAGTGACCTTTGGCATCCGTAGTCTTACGGCTGATGAGCTGCAGAATTGAAGTCACTTTTTGTCGAAGTATCTGTGTCAGTGTGTAGATCCTGATGATCTGTGTGTGTACTCTGTAGTCTCCACCTCGTGTGGCAGCTCGGGTGTCCTCTGTGTGGGTTCTCTGTATCGCTTGGTGCTATGTACAACACAAGACAGGGCTGCCGGGACTCTGACAGCTCCCTGGCAGAGTGAGGCCTCCCTCCTTACCCGTCCTCAAAGATTGCCTCTTATGTACTTCAAGGAAGGCAAAGCCTGGGGAATGAGCGGGCAGAGAAGCCACTCTGTCTCCTAGTGTCGTCCTTGTCGGGCTCTCTATGGAGTGGCTCATGTGGCTAAGTAAGTACTAAGCAAGCAAGAGAACGTCTGCTTGGATGAGGCCTAAGTGTCGGTTCATCTCTGTCTCCTAAGCAGCCTTAGAAGAGTTGCTGACCATCATTGCTTCATGACTTTCTCCTCTGAAAAGCCCAGAAGATATGAATACGCACCTACTTGTGACTCCAGGTTGCTGGGGTGTGAGTCAATGTACAGAAAGTGATAGGGCTGGCAGCAGGCATGCAGTGATTGCCTTTCTTGTTTTGAAAGCCAGGAGCATGGGAACTGTCAGTGTTAGTATCTTACAGGCTAGAAGACGAAAGGCCATGGAATTCAGGCTATGCTAGGACAGAATCAGCATCCAGGATACAAGGGCAGTATTCGCCTGCTGTTAGCGAGGCTGCTATCAAAGCCTGAGACTGCATGAAGGAGTTAGTGCTGCTGGGCCTCAGGGTTGCAGCCGGGAGGAGTCAAGTCATAGGATACTGTTCTTTCACCACAGACCACTGAGAACAGAGAGGACATGGTGATAAATCTCAGTGCAGGGAAGGGGTGGGCGCATTCTCCCAGAGAGTTGAGATCCACAGAGCTATTTCCCTCCAGCTCTGAGGCCCCCAAATCAGCACCCTCAACCCAGCACCCTGTGGGAGGCGTTGCAGGTGCACCACTTACAGGCTCATGCTTGGGATTCTCCATCTCCGCCTAGCTTTGGACAGGCTAGTTTCTACCCCCCATACTATAGCCAAGCAGCGAAAACTGAGGAGACTATGAACGGCCTCTTTCTGCGACATAGGCAACCTCACCACATCACATGGCCCCACCCGTCCCCACCACTGGGCATTTGAGACCAGCCAGATATCATTTCCCTGGAGGGTTTGGAACACAGAGCCAATGGACACCACTCTCCAAAGCATGAAGAATATTAATTAAATGAAGGTTTATTTCAAAATTAGTCTTAGAGTATAAGCTGGGCTGAGGGCTGGAGCCCGACTACGTAATGAGTGGTGAGGGCACCTGCTTTCCCCAACACAGGCGGTGAGGAAGGAGCATCACCGGCCCTGCGCCCGATCATGCATCCAAAGATTACTAGCACTAGAAGCCAACAGCAAAGGACCCCCCGCATGGTTGCTCATGTTTAATCCAGGTTAAGCTATACACGTTTAAATACACGCCGGAGGTTACATGGTGTCATGCAATCCCAGTGATGGAATGACGTTCTTGCTCAGTGACCTCCTGCAGTGAGGCTGCTCCCCAGGTGAGGTTAGGTGGGACAGAGCACTGAAAGAGAAGAGGAGAGAGGTCACGCGGAGGTCATACTGCGCAGAAACCACCTCCAAGGACCAGGCCATGGCTGCAGCCCTGAGTCATCTTTCCAGGAACAGAAGAGAATGACAGGTGTCTGTCACAATGAGCAAGCACTGCAGGCTCTAGGGTCCACGGAGGATCTAACGCGGTGACTTGACGGAGATGCCTTCCCCGGCCATGCTAGGGTGTAGCTGAGCTACAATTCACAGGGTTGCTGAGAGACTTGTAAAATATGCCCCATAAATATTAACTGCTTTTCTAAATTCACTGACATTTCAGTGGGTCACAGTCTAGCTTTCGGCTCACCAACCTCATTTAACCCACCTCTACACGCTTCTCTGAAAAGCTTCTATTCTTGCAAAGTCTTTGAGAGTCACAAGTTCTTCCTAATTCTTAACCTAAATTCTTCCTATTGAAATTTAATATTAACCCCTCTGATCCTCATAGAAAGAGCACAGTTTGGGATTTCATAATCAGGTTCCATAAGCATTTTGCAACTCCTCTAGGTTTTGTATAAATGTGAACTCAGAGATGATGGGTCCAAACAATGTGTGCTCATCATGGCCGGCGACATACAAAGAGCAGATAGCCAGACAGTGCAGGGCTTCTCATGCAGGGCTGCAACCACACAGCATGAGGTGTTCAGCAAAAGTCTTGAGCCTGGACCTCATCAAGACTCTTGTTCCACCAGTTACAGATAAATAAAAGAGACGAAAAAATAAAGTAAACCTTGGGCTGGAATTGGGAAGAATCTAGGACAAATCTATTCTATAATTTAACAAATGAGTTTAAATAATAAAGAAGGAAAGGAAAGGCTATATATGACTTTTGTTTGTTTGTTTGTATTTTTGGGTTTTAAAGATACATTATTGGCTGAACATGGTGGTAATCCCAGCACTTGGGAGGTGGGGGCAGGAAAATCAGGATTTCAAGGTCTTTCTCAGCTATAGAGAGGGTTTGAGGCCAGCCTGGGCTGCCTAAGATCCTGGGGGGAGGGAGACAGGAAGAAGGGATGGGAGTGGCTCAGACACAAAGATAGGCAGAGACAGACTTAGGAGATAAATCATCACGTTTTATGAACCATCACCAGGTCCTGATGGAAGCAAATAAACTGGAAACACTGTGTGGGGACCAAGGTGATCTGAACAGCGGTCAGGTCACCAGTGACACACACACAATGTTTAAGTTTGTCCTTGTAACCTTTCCTCTTCCCTTTTTGCTGTTCTGGAAAAGGAGCCCAGGGCCTCATACTTCCAGGCAAGCTGCCGATCACCATCCTCAGTCCTAGTTGGATAATGGCATTATGGCTATGTGTCCAGTTCTCAGATTTTGGAAATGTATCCTGAGATATTTATGAATGCAAAAATACTAACAGACATCTGCTTCAAAATAAAACTGGTATAGGAGTATAAATAAGCCTGGTGAGGACTGGAGAGAGGGCTCAAGGGTTAAGAGCACTGGTTGGGGCTGGAGAGATGGCGCAGAGGTTAAGAGCATTGCCTATTCTTCCTGAAGACCCAGGTTCAATTCCCTACAGCCCACAGGACTCAGAACTCAGAACTATCTGTAACTCCAGTCCCAAGGGACCTTATGATCTTTTCTGGTCTCTTTGGGGACACACAAGGAGAACAAACACATGCAGGGGGAACACCTATATACATAAAAAATAAATAAAAATAAAAGATTATCTGTGAGTTAATCCTCTTTACTGTTTCCCCACACTGACAACTTCCACAGTAATTCAGAAAGAAGTTGCAGGGCAGAAGCTGTGACTTGATGGAAGGATGCTCGCCTAGTGTGTGTTGGTCCCTGCATCTCCAGTTGTACTCCCTTTTTTAAAAGGTTAGGAAAAGACAAAGTTAATCATGACAACATTCTCCTTTCAAGTTAATACTAAAAGTATTAACTTATTTCCAGGCTTTGTTTTTCCTAACTACATATGCCATGGTGCAAAAGCCACTGGACTTCTAAAGTAAGTTCCTTGTTGGTGCCCTGTTCCTCATGAGGACACACACTGGTGACCTGAAGTGAGGGAATCATGAAGCCCTCATGATGACCGTGTGGTTTATGGGAGCACAACCTGGTCGGCCTGCAGTGGGCGCTCTGGGGGGGCTTCAGCCTGAGCTTTGCAGCTGGCCCAGGAGCCCGGAGGACCCTTTCTGTTCAGGGAGGAGGGTGGATGCTCTCACCTTTTAAAATGTAGTCCGTTAGCAAAGTAGGCACCTTCTCATTATCCTCCTTCATGGCGAAGAGAACTAGAGGAAAGAGAGAGAGAGATATGGGCCACGATATTGTCAGGGTATGGGGTTTGCATCTAAGGCCAGACAACGTCCACCCTTAGCGAGAAAGAAATGATGTGAGGAAACCTGGTATGCACTGAGTGTTAAGTAGGCACAGTCCTCTACAGGCGTCCAAGAGTCAGCGTGCTCGGGATGAGAGCGGTAAGGATGTCTCTGCAGAGTGGACCTACCAGTGACTTCTTTTGGTTTTTCCCTTTTGGTTCATCTATAACTTCTATGCCACCTACCAAATATATCTTTAGTAAAAATAAATGAAGCAATAAATAAATAAATAAATAAATAAATAAAATGAAGCAATGGCCCAAAATGATAAAATCAGTTTTTGGAGAGAGTCAACCTAAATGTTAAATATTAATTGCTAATCATTAATAAAACTGTGCTGTTTGGTTTGTTTTTGAGACAGGGTTTCACTATGTAGCCCTGGCTGGCCTGGAACACAACATGTAGACCAGGATAATCTTAAACTCACAGAGATCTGCCTGCCTCTGCCTCCCAGGTGATGGGATTAAAGGCATGTGCCGCCACCACCCAGCTGAAACTATCTTTAAAGATATTCTACTCACATAAAAAAAAATGCTACTGCACTGGGCGGTGGTGGTGCATGCCTTTAATCCCAGCACTTGGGAGGCAGAGGCAGGCAGATCTCTGTGAGTTTGAGACCAGCTAGTCTACAAGAGCTAGTTCCAGGACAGGCTTCAAAACTACAGAGAAACCCTGTCTCAAACAACAACAACAACAACAAAATGTTATTGCAATAATCCTCACCTTCAATTTATTGACCACAAATAAAGTTTATCCAACAAATCTTTGCTCTGTCCCGTGGGGAGGAAGTGAAGTCCTGGGTGAAAGTGTATTGCTGACGTGAGTACAGTTAGGTCAGGAACCCTGACGCCTCAGCCCCAGGGAAATGGTAAAACCTTCCTTTGATCCAAATACAGATGTCATGAATCACTGACCCCTTAGCTAAAAACAGTCAAGCATACCTCTCTGCTTCCCTTGACTGCACCCTGAAAGTGCTCCCCTGTAGAGGTCAGCTGACTTGATTCATCCTGGTTCAGCTGTATGCAATAAACCCACATCCTCAATTCGGATGAATAAAATTAACACGCCGAGTTTGCCGAGTTTCCAGGTTTCTCCTGTTATATCTCTGTTAGGGTACGTGGCCCACCCAACCCCAGCTTTTCTATCTGTGTGTCTGTCTTTTCTTCATTCCTCAAGTCAGGTCAACTCCAAAGCCATGCAGGACGTAGCAGTTTCCATTACAGTGTTAGGCTGTGTAGTGCGGAAGAACTGTGGACTCCCAGGGAGCCGTCACAGCGTTTGCTGAAATACCTACTTGAAACAAACAGTAGGAAAGCTTTTAGAACCTAAAGGCTTTGAAGGAACACTTCCATAAACATTTCAAAACTGCATTTTCTGGGGGTGAGACTGTAATTCAATGTTAGGACACTCATCTACCTCATATTCCGTCCCCAAACAAATAAATCCTTTTCTGTTAACTAAATAATGTGCTCACATGTTCACAACTTACATTATAGAAGTCAGCACAAAGACATTCTATAAGAAAGTATCTGAGCCTTATTTATAACTTCAACAACAGCACCCAACAACAGACTCCTTCACCAACTTAAGCTTCCTTAAATAGACTGGTGCGCCTAGCCTTTGTAGTCTTACACTACCTTACAAAAATGAGAGGTCTACATATATAAAAGACTTATCTCTGAAGAAGGCTGAAGAACATGTATTAGCTATATAACAAATATATCCTAACATAGAAAAATCTGAATGTGAGACCACAGAGGATGCTTCCGGGACTGTTTCTATGCTGCATTTTCTAAGGTGAAAATGATCGTATTTCACCTTCATAAGCAGAGTGAACAGTGAAGATCAGCGGGTCCTGAGTCAGGAGGCAACCACGACAAGGGTGGGATCCCAGATCCAGGTCCGTGTTGAGGCTGGGTAATGGTCAGGACTTGGAATATGGTCAGAACCAGGTGAAGAATAGGACTCAATATGATGATACAAATCACCAGTGATGGCCGGGGGAAAAGACTGAACCCATAGCCTATCAGGGGTTTGTTTTCTTTATGTTTTCGGATATATAGTCATTTCAACAGAATTAGATGACGGGGATCCTGGTTTCTGCTGTTTGCTTCCTGTTGTACCTAAAAAAATTTAATTACATGTGCTACAGTGGGTGTGCATGTATACCAGGGCATGCATGTGGAAGGAAGAGAGGACTGGAGAACTTGGTTCTCTCCTGCCATGTGGTCTCCGGGATGGAACTCAGGTCCCAAACTTAGTGGCAAGGCCCTTTACCTGCTGAGCAATCTTGCTGGCTCTGTGTTGAATTTTTAGATGCAAATTCATGGAGGGATGGTTCAGCAGTCAAAAGCACAGACTGTTGCTTTTCCAGAGGACTCGAGTTCAATTCCTAGCCCCCACATGTTGACTCACAAGCGTCTGCAGCTCCAGTTTCATCGGATCTGATGTGCTCTTCTGTCTAACGCGTGCAAGTGTTGCACAGTCATACAGGTCGGCCAAACACCCACACACATCAAACAGTAAACTAAACAGAACCTTTATAGCTCATGAAACTGCAACTATCTGGAAACTTGTAAAATAGAATTAAATACCACAGTAGTAACCGTGATGATGGAGAAAATTCACATTATGGTTTGGTCTGAAATGTCCCCCAAATGTTCATGCACTGCGAATTGGTTCCTAATTCAAGAATGTGGGGCTTTGGGGGCGTGATCAGATCTTGAGGGCTCTGAAATCATCAATGGACCGATATGTTCTCTGTTTGATGGGATATTGGCAGGGGAAGAAAACTTAGGAGGCAAGACCTAGTTAGAGCGTGAGTCCCTGAGGACATGCCCGTGGGGCTCTCTGGCTTTCCCAGCAGCCGTGAGATGAGCAGCTGGGCCACTGTCCCCTATCTTCCGTGATGCTCAGTCTCACCATGGACTGGGAAACATGGACTGAAACCTCTGAAGCAGAGTCAAAAAAAACCCCTACTCTCCTTTAAGTTGTTTCCTCAGGCATTTTGTCAGTTACATAAAACTTCTCAGCACACTGAATTTCTTTGTCCATTTTTCCATATTCCTATAGTACTCTAATGATGGACACACTGGTTATAATTTTAAAATAACTGTTATTTAGTGTGTGTGTGTGTGTGTGTGTGTGTGTATGCACATACATGTGTGTACATTTGGTTCATGGGTCCTATGTGGAAGTCAGAGGACCATTCTACAAAGTTGATTCTGTCCGTCTACCTTTCTGTAGGTTCTGGGGATTGAACTCAGAACTCCAGGCTTGCACAGCAGGTGCTTTGTTCACTGAGCTGTCCCACCGGCCCTAGACTTTTGGGACTTTTGTTTGTTTGTTTGTTTGTTTGTTTGTTTTTGGCACAGGGTTTCTCTATGTCATTCTGGCTGTCCTGGAACCCACTCTGTAGACTTGGCTGACCTCAAACTCACAGAGATCCACCTGCCTCTGTTTCCTGAGTACTGGGATTAAAGGTGTATGCCACTACTACCTGACTGGCCCTATACTTTTTAATAAATTGAAAAACATAAAAACAATTTTACAATGGAGAGACTTGCACTAACTTTCTATACATGGGCCAATGACAGATGAATAGTTTTTCCCTTTGAAATTTGCCCAAGTTATCTTTCAAATGTTTACCGCCATGAAAACACAAACACCTGTAAATGCGGTCTGCATGTGTGTGCACGCGTGTGTGTGTGTGAGTGTGTGTGTGAATATGTGTGTGTGTGAATGATACTGAACACTGAATAATGTGAGCTTTGTGAATGCTCGGCAAATGCTCTACCACTGAGCTAAAAGGAGTTTGAGAGTATTGATGTTCTTGTAGAAGACCTAGGCTGGGTTCCTGGAAGCCTCAAGGCAACTCATAACTTCTGGAACTCAGATTCCATGGAGTACTCTTCTGACCTCTGCCTTGTACACATGTGGTACAGTCACACGTAAGCAAAAATACTCACATGCATGAAACAATAATAAATCTTTTAAATTAATTAATTTAAAAAAAATCTACGGCTGGGCATATGGGTCTGTACCTATAATCCCAACATTCAGGAGTCTCGTTAGGTCAATGGAGTTCAAAGATAGTCTGGGCAATACAGTGAAAACACATCTCAGGAAAAAAAACGAAGGAAGGGAAAAAAAGAAACAAGTCTCAAAAAGCAAAAAGGCAAGCGAGACATGGTGGGGCACACCTTTAATCCCAGCACTCTGGCAGCAGAGGCAGGAGGATCTCTGTGAGCTCCAGGACAGCCAGGGCTAAGCAGAAACACTCAGTCTCAGAACAAAGAAGGCAGTGGTGGGTGGGAGGCAGTGATGGGTGGGAGGTGGCTGGTGGGTGGGAGATAGCTGGTGAGGGGAGGCAGTTGGTGGGTGGGAGGGGGCTGGTGGGTGGGAAGGGGCTGGTGGGATGGTTCAGTGGTTAAAAGTACTTGCAACTCCACCAGCACTTAGAAGGCAGGAGTGTGCAGATTTCTGTGAGCTTGAGGCCAGCCTGGTCTACAGAGAGAGTTCCAAGACAGCCAGAGCTAACCTTAAGGATTGGATGGAGAGATGGCTCAGAAGTTAAGAGGACCCAGGTTCAATTCCCAGCACCAACATGGCAACTCACAACTGTCTGTAACTCCAAGATATGACATCTTCACATAGACATACACGTGGGCAAAACATTAATGCACATAAAATTTTAAATATATATATATATATATATAAAAAGAGTATTTGTAACTTTTGCTAAGAACCCAGATTCAGATCCCAGCACCCACATGACAGCTCACCCTGTCTGTAACTCCAACTCAGGAGGATCTGATATCTTCTTCTGGCCTCATGGGCACCAGGCACACAAGTGGTGTGCATAAGTACATGTAGGCTAAGCATTTGCACACATAAAACTTAAAAAATAAGATAAAATAAAAAGGCTGGAACTGGAAGAACAAACCTAAAATCCCAGAGGCTGAGGCAAGAAGCCTAACTTAACACCAGTGCAGCCATGACAGGCTGCAGACTAACAAAACTGGGCCTAGGCCTCACCCTTACAATAACCAGGAAAAACCATAGACTGTATCCTGCGGGGGACCAATCAGAATTAAGACAAACAAGTACTAGATGCTTCAGAACATTAAGAATAACTTATATAAGTTCTATAGGTTGCCAGTTTCCTTGCAGCAACGCCAGTACCAATCCCTGTTTGATAAGACTTCTGCTAACCCACCCACTCCTGCTCAATCAAGAGTTCAATCCCTATCTGAAATCAGGATTCCCCTACCCCTACCATAGCTGGGCTCAGCGCTCTCCCCGCCCCAACTGCTGTGTTGGAGTGGATAGAGAGTCCAAACAGCAGCTTGCAATAAAGACTCTTCGCTTTTGCATATAAACTCACGACTCCTGGTGGTCAATAGTGGGATGGGGGGAGGGGGGATCAGGACATGGGCATAACATTAGCAAATCTGAAGCCTGCCTGGATCATTTAATGAGTCCAAGGGCAGCCTGAGCAGCTTAGTGTGAGCTTAAACTTTTTAACCTTTAGTGTAAGGTTAAAAAGCAGAGGACAGAGCTCTGGGGTAGCATGCACGGGTCCCTAGGATCAGTTCACAGTACTGAGAAACCAATCACGGGGCATACTTATACAGATGCAGAAATCTAAACCGAGCAAACGTACTTTGAAGGTAAAATCCCTGATTCTCAAGGACATGATGTCTATGAATGCTGACAAGATCTGTTTGCCACAAGGTCTGCTTTTGTTCTCCAGATGGCTAAAAAGGAAGCCTTTCTTCATCCTTAACTTGGGGATGGGATGCAGTAGGGGGATATTTGTCTTCCTAGGCTGGGCGAAAAATCCCTCCCCCTTTGTCTAGCATGACCAATAGCCCCGCAGTGGCCCATCCCCTTCAGGGCAGCCACAGGGCACTGGGCAGCCTTGTGAGCAGTCCTTCAGCAAGCTCGGTTGCCTGGAAAGAAATGGAATTTCTATCTGACCCACTGAGCGTGTCACCAAGTCTCAGTCTAGAATTTTCTCTTAAGAGAGCCGAGACAATACCGCTACCACACACTAGTCCTTTGAGGTTGTACTGTGTCATACACAGATGAAAAGCGCTTTATTACGTGTTGGTTTGCACCCACCCCCACCCTCTTACTCCCACTCCCCCAGCTCAGAATATCTAACAATACAGAACAAAGCATCTTAAGTGAAGAAGAGGCAGTCACTTCCTGGAAGGAAAACTGACTCTATTCTTTCCGAGCAGCCTCGCCCCACCCCAAAAGCCTTCACATCAACACAGCACAGCGGGGCCCACAGACAGAGTGCTCTGCTCTAAGGGGCCCAGGATGACAGTTGAGGTAGAAAAGACAAAGCCTGGGAGCTGCAGGGAAAACAGAAAACTCTGCCCACCCCTCAAGTCCCTCCCCATCCTTTTAAAAAAAAAAAAAAACCGGGGGCCACAACAAGGTATTTAAATTTTGTCTTGTTCAAGGGGATATGATATGCAGAGAATTTTGCCCCATGAAAAACTATCCTAGAGAAATCGGGGGACTGAGAACAGGAGGTGCACAGACCAGGAGGAATGGCATCCTAGGCCTGGGGCTGAGGAAGAGGAACTCACTGTTTGTCAACATCTGCAGATCTTCCACGGAAGGAGGAGAGGATTTCTTCTCATAAGGGATGACCGTGTTCAGGTACTGCCAAGACAAACAGGGTGGGCAGAACCTGAGTCACTGCTCCCTCTTGGTTTGAGGCACAGTGGACAACTTGCACAGAGACCATACTTTGCTTTAAAATCTGGGCACCAACCACTGTCACTAGCAAAGTGCTACTTCAGAACTCGCTTTCTCCTCCTCAAGCATCTCTAAGGTAAGGCTTTCCCCACATTCAGTGGAGGAAAACTCCCCTTGCCCCAACTTCCACATTCTTTTTTTGTTTTCCTTTTTCGAGACAGGGATTCTTTGTGTAACAGCCCTGGCTGTCCTGGAACCCGCTCTGAAGACCAGGCTGATCTTGAACTCACAGAGATCCACCTGCTTCTGCCTCCCAAGTGCTGCACCACCAACTGCCCTGCAAATTCTACATTCTTAATACGATAAAATCTCTTTTGTTCTCAGAACCTTGGGGAGTCTTTCTCCTCTCAGATAACAGCAGGGGCAGTGGGTACTGTGCAATTTAAGAAGGGATTATTTCTCTTTTGTCAAATGACATATCCACCCCACCCAAGATCTTAACTGTCAGATTTGCTCCCTCTTACAACAAAGCAAACCCTGAGGTACCCACCCAGTGGACGTCAAAGACCAGAAAGCCAGAGAGATCTTACTTCAGGCCCCAAGGAAGTCCAAGGTGATAAGTTCAAGGTCAAACATCCTGGAATTGTAGCTTGGACCCCTGTCACCTGGCAGTGAGGCCCTGGAAAACTGCCCTATGACTCTGGGCCTCAGTTCTCCCAGGAACAGGAAGGGCTGGTTAGATGTTGTCTAGGATCTGGTTGTAAAATTCTAACATGTGGGATTCCATTTCACCCATTCAAACAGCACACATACTTCATGATCACTTATCCCACCCAGACTTAAAAGTTGCCAGTGCACACACTGCCAAGTCCATTAGATTCTCTATTCCCCCAGGGCAGGAGGAGGCCAGGACTTCTCACCTTTGCACCTCTAGGACCTAGCAACAGATCACAGTACACAACCGGCAAAGCTGCTGAACTCTGCCTTAATAGCCAGAACTGCAAGCTGCATCACAGATGCTGTCGTTTGGATGTAATGTGTCTTCTAAGGGTCCATATGCAAAGCCTTGATTCCCCGGGGTCATGGTACAAAGATGCACCATGGCCTTTTAAGGCTAGGACCCAGGGGGAGGTCATTATGCAGGTCCTTCAAGGCTACTACTAAGTGCTCTCTCTTGAACTTTTATGTGTCCCACCCCATTCTGTCTTCGTTTCTCTCTGCTCTCTGTCAAGTTTAGCATGGGCCTGTTTGTTCCTACACACCCACACCCATAGTGATGCTACCTTACCAAATACCAAACCAATAAAAACAAATAAGCAAAACTATGCTTTTTCTAAAGTTAATTGCAGGTATTTCATTGCGTTACTTCAAAGCTGACTACATGGAAGTAAGAAAGAGACATCACAGTGTGACTTACAATCAGAGCTGGAGGTTGAAGAGGCGGTATTGGTGGCACTGTCTCAGCTGCCCCTCCAATACGAGAGAGCTGATTAGGCGCTAAGATGGGATCTATTGTGAAACAGATCCCCCAATACACTTTATTCTTGTGGTTTTGGTTGTGAGCCTAGTCTTTAATAGCTGGGCCATCTCTCCAGCCTGTGTTTTATTCTAAAGGCAAACTAATAGATTTGCCTTAGATCTCCTTTTGGTGTTGAGTTTTAAGTTTTATGCATGTTCCAGAATAAACACAAAAAACAAAAACGACTTTTGAAAGACATTTTCTGTGTTTTTCTTAGGAGCGGAAGAAAATGTTAGGGTACCTCAGACTTGCCCAGATTCTGAGATAACCGCTGTGCCTCCATCCCCCCCACTTGTGAGGAAGCTGAGCTGCTAGTTGTCTGGAAGAACAAAAGAGCAAACTCTGGCTGCACATACCTGTCGGTCGGCTCCAGAGGAGCCAAAGGTCTGGCGGATGCCACTCTGCAGAATGTTGGAGATGCCTTCCATGCTGAAACGCTAAGGAAGAAACACACTCAAGATGGACAAAGCCTTCCTGCCCCAGTGTCACCACCCCAGGGACTTCTGTGTCTTGGCTCAAATGCTTATCAGCTGTCAAACTGCCTTGGCTAAGCGGCCACAACGTAAGTCGTAAGTCGTTGGCGTGCACAGATAAGCCAGAATTTAAGCAAGAATAGTTAGCAGTCTCAGAGATTCATCTTGGTAAGTCCCTAAGGGCTACAAGACTCCCTTGTCACCCTCTAGGCTTCCTCATTTCGCCCTGTATCACGTAAACAAAAGTAATACGGAACAGTGCATCTCTGGAGAACTATGATGCCAAGATCGTGGGGGAAGCAAAGAATGCAGCTATCAGGAAAGGCAGGCGTCCAGAAGTGGTCTGGTCCTGGAAAACTTCAAGAGTCACATGGCCCAGGCCTAACTCAATAGGTTTGTGAAAAGCAGCTTAGCTAAGTCTATGGACGTCATCCTGCTAATAATCAACGAGCCATCCAGCCGTTTTCTGGCGTGGACCGCATGTAAACCATGGTTGCTTCACACGGTTCCAGCATTTCGACTTTGCAGACCACAATTTCCGGCACCTTTTACTTTGATGTTTAGCAATTCTTGCTATGTGTTATGGGAGTTCCCTTATGCCTTTCCCTTTGGGAAATTTTGTGCGGGCTTTGAAATATGAAAATATATAAAATGGCAACCTCTCCAAACAAAATAATTTTTTGGAAAAATATCCCTGCCACTGTGGTACCATATAGCATGATAGACCTGCCTGCTCCCACACAAGTTAACGCCAAGCTGCTAGGAAATTTAGGCAAGTAACACATACTTAATAAATAAAGTATATCTGATAATCAAAATTTATAAATTCCTAAGATCTGTCTACTTGGGTTCACAGTAACATGTATCTAGCCTCGTCTTTGTGCACTTTAAGCTTTAGCTATTTGGATAAGTCATACAAGCAACTGCAATATTCTAAAATAGAGTGTCTGATTATCCCCCATCCCCAAGAAAGTCCTTTTCCCAAGGTCAGGCACTTAGACAAGTCTCCATTTCCTTGGGGGTTTAAAGAAAGCTTCTGCTTGCTAAAAAGGGAAACAGTCCTCTCTCTGGCAGAAGGAACTTGTGACCCTTCCATTAACAGATGACTGATGCCTATTAACTTGTCAAGGTCAATGCTAGCTTCTTCAAACCCTGACCATAAGTCACACCCCAGCTCACATGCCCCCTTTCTCCCATTTAGTCCTATATGCAAGTATAGAATACACAATCTGTATTTTTTTTTTCAGTAAATACACTGGCTGCCATCCTGATTCACCCTCAGTTCCTACCTCCTCACCCTCACCTCAAGCTGTCTCCACACATCCTCTTTGGAACCCGAACCCCACGGAAGCAGGTCTCTGGCAATTTTCAGCCATTCAAACAGCCCAGCAATATTCTACACAGGCTCCAAAGGGACCAGGTTGGGCAATAATCCGTGCCAATGGCAGAGATCCTGAACTCCATCTTTTCAAGGACCAGCCTGGCGAACAGGTCGTATCCACTTACTTTTTAATTCTTATTCAGTTTGTCCTCCATTTAGACCAGAGGCCTTCGGGGAAGCTGGACAGACAGGAGGCATCCCCTGCTTTCCTAACTCACTAACTGTCACAGCTGGAACTCTGTAACTGTTTAGGAGTCTACTACAGGGTGGCTATCAGGACGTGTGATGGTTAGGGCTCCAGGCTGGCTATTTCTAGTGTTCCGGTGGCTCACATACCTTGAGAGGCATCTGGTTTCCCTTTTCTATTCGGCTGCTCTGCAGGCTCAATCCCTTCTCTTTCCGTCTCTTCTTCATCAGTTCCCGTTGCTCCTTCTGCTTGTTCTGAACCTCAATGAGCACCGTGATGAAGGAGTTCTTCACTTCCTTCTCAAACTCCAGCTCGTCTCTGCGGGCCAGCTGGTGGACCAGTTCCTCAGAGAGGTCCCGGATGGCACCCTCTACCTGATCCAGCAGCTCTGTCAGCTCAGGCCCAGACATGTGCCTCAGCCCTAGAGACAAAGATGGATTTGGAAAGTGATATCTTCAGACAGGCATGAAAATGCTGGAGATAGAATCATTCTTAGATGGCGTCCCCTCCAACCCTTAGCATTTCTCTGAAAGGCCATCACAATCTAGGGGGAAGGGGTGTTATATCATGTATAGAAGAGAACAACCCAACTCAAAAAGCGGAGAAGAAAGCCGAGAGTGGTGGTGCACGCCTTTGATCCCAGCACTGGGGTGGGGGGCAGAAATAGGGAGATCTCTATGAGTTCAAGGTCAGCCTGGTCTACAGAGCGAGTTCCAGAACAGCCAAAGATACACAGAGAATCCCTGTCTCAAAAACAAGCAAACAAACAAACGAAGTAGAGGAGAAAAAAGTGTCCACAAGGAAGCACGGGCACTTTGTAGCCAGTGAAGGATATGCCTGGCTTTGACACCTTGCTCGCTCTTCATCTGCCCTCGGTCTCTGTCACATTGATGGGGAAAACACTGCGGCTTGGGTACCTGTGATGAGCACTGATATAAGAAGTCATGGAGACAGCTGGCATCAACACGAACATGACCTGGGGGTGTATGGTCCTATGCCTCAGTCTACACTGCAAACTGTAGGAGACCCAGGAAAGAATGGGGAAGGGAAGGGAAAAATTAAGCCTTATCAATCAGCAGGCTACTTCCAGAGACAAAGAAAGGGAACCAGAGATCACAGACATGGACACCTTTAACATCTTGTCGCTTCAGACTCTGTGATTTATAATATCTTTAGATCACTGTCAATGGATTGTCTCTTCAAAAAGGGTAGGAAAGCCAGGCACAGTGGCACATGCTTTTAATTCTAGTACTTGGGTGGCAGAGAAAGATCGATCTCTGTGAGTTCAAAGATAGCCTTGCTTACATAGAGTTCCAGGACAACAGCCACAGCCACACAGTGAATCACTGTCTACTAAACAGACAAATAAACAAAATAAAGCAGTAGAGACATTTTTAAAATGTGTATGGGTGTTTTACCTGCATGTGTGTAACACATGTTTTACCTGCATGTATGTAACTGGAACCCACAGAGGCCAGAAGAGGGCATCAGATCCCCTAGAACTAGACTTACAAATGGTTCTAAGTAGCCACATGGGTGCTGAGGAACTGAAATTGGGTCCTTTGCAAGAATATCCAGTGAGCTGAACTGCTCAGCCATCCCTCCAGACCTTGCTGGTTTGTTTTTGAGACAAGGGCTCAGTATGTAGTCAAGGATGGTCTCTGGCTCTCACTACTGCCTCAGCCTTCCGAAAGCTGGTATGTGCTACCACGCCCAGTGAGCAGAAAGGATTTTAAAACTTCCTGGTCCAGGGCTGAGGATGAACTGGGTGGCAGAACATTTGCTTAGCATGGAAGAAGCCCTGGGCTCAGATCCTAGCAATACACACACACACACACACACACACACACACACACACACACACCTCCACCAGAAAGAAATGATCATGTGTTGATGAAAGAGAAGCCAGCTACCTATGTATTGAAATGTTCCAAATGACACTGTATCCCATAAACACACTAATTTGCCATATGCCAATTAAGCATATTAGTGAAGTAGATTTAGGGAGCCCCTTTGTGTCACCTCAGGGCCCTCCTTCCCTTCTCATTTCTGCTCAGCCTGGGTGTCTGCTCACTCAGTTGGTTTTGCTCTTTGAGCTGTCCTCCTGTTTTTTGTTTTTTTTTTCCATTTCACTCTGCTTTGCTGATTGCTTCTGTTTGTGCCCTTTGTGTGGTGAGAATGGCCTGACTGGGCGGGTGGCGAATGCAGCTAGGCATCCAAACCCACTCCATCACCCTATTGGCTTCCTGCAGTGACCATGCCCTGCCTGTTTCATCTCTTCAGGGCCAAGCAGTTTTGTTTTCAGGACGTGGTGGCTGATTTTTTTTTTATCTCAGTTTTTGCCACCTCCTCCTGAAACTTTGATCTAGGTTTCCTGACAGATGGAGGCACCTTCTCTCCCAGACCCACCCTCTCATTCCTAGTGACCTGGCTGCAAGAGCAGGCCTCCCCCTGCAGATCAGCATGCACACAGCCATCCCTAAGATGGCTGCTGATTTGTACACCATTTTCATTTCACGCGTCATCTAGCCCGCTCTTAGTCATTACGATAAATCTGTGTTAGAGATCTCGGTAATGTGAGACAGGCATTAAAAGACTGGACTCCGGAGTTCATCGCCCTGGTTTCAAGAGCTATCTGCACTGTCCCTTATAATGTATAGGGGCTGCGAGGAAAGGCATCAATTGAAAATGGGGTCTTTACTCTCCCCACTGAAAGAAAGGAAGAGTGTTGAGGGTGTAGCTCAGTGAGAGTGTATGCATGAGGCCCTGGGTTCAATTCCCAGCCCTAAACAACACACACACACACACACACACACACACACACACACACACACACAGGGGAGGCAGAAAGAGAGAATTTTCCTCTTCTCTGTCTCCCTTTTCTCTTAGAACTTCTCTGTCTGCCCTTCTCAAACATATATTAAAAATGTAATAGTTAAATAAGCCTCCTCCCATCTCCACAGTTCAGGAAGATTTCCTTCAGGAATTGAGAGTCACTGCTTTGAAATAAATGTAATCATCACGACCTAATCTCCCACTGTTCTGGAAGCACAGGGCCTAGCTCATCCACCTGACTACAAATTGCAAAACCTACTTAAGGTAATGGGCTCCATTCACTTAGTTATAACAAGAGCACAATCTCCTTCAGCTTGTGCTGTTCTTTGGAGGATTGCCTGTGATCTGTAGACTGTTCTCAGTTAATGCTTACTCAGTAATAAAATTGCCCCCCAACCGTATTTTTGTGGGAAGGATTTGCGGAGTGGCAAGGAGCTTTTGTTTGTGATTCTATTTCTTCAACTGTGGGCTTGGACAAATCCCTTAACCTCCAGATGACAATTCAGTCTTGAGAGGCGTGGCGTGAAGTTAGTTTGAGGATGGTACATAGGAAAGACTAAGACTGCTAGCTCGTATTCTCTCTTTCTGTCTCTCTGTCTCTGTCTCTCTCTCACACACATACACACACACACATACACAGAATACTGGAGCTTGGACCTAGGATACTACAGTATTGTGAATGCACGGCAAATGCTACAGTCACTGTCCTACCGTGTGTGTGTGTGTGTGTGTGTGTGCAAACATGTATTCAGTGTCCTAGTTATTCTACTTTAGTCTTGTTTGGTTACCTTTAGCACTTAAATTTTATTCTACTCTTTTTTTTTCCTTTTTCTGTAGAAACGCTGACTTTTCTCCTGATACCAAATCAAGAAGGTGTTACCTTTCTCCTGGATTTTCAAACTCTGCTCTAGGGCAAAGACCAAGTTCTGATAGCCAAGTATAAACAGTACCTGGACAGGACACAGTAGCACAGTCTTTAAATCTGAGGCAATCTTTTAATCTGTGAGGTCAAGACCAGTGTGGTCTACATAGCGAGTTGCAAGCAAGTCAAGGCTTCATAGTAAGAACTATAGTAGGAAATATATATCCACAAAAGGCAGTACCTGGTACCAAGGAAGAGCTTGGTCCTTAGTCAGCCCAGCCCAGGGCCCTCACCTTCATAGGACCAGTTATTGTTGAAGGTCTGTGTCAAGGCCTGCATCTCTTGCAACAGGACTGAGTCTGCCTGGGATGAGATGTCTCCTCCATCCTCCTCTTCCAGCACCTCCTCTTCCTCTTCGGGATCTGGGGAGTTCTGCATCATTTCTTCAATCTCCTCAATCACCTAAGGATACAGTACAAGATCTGTTCCCTCCTGGGGTGTTCCAGTTCATCTGAGTACTCAGCAGCATTGCTAATTTATTCCCTGTCTTCATAAATATTGGATAATAATAAAAATAGACTTGGTCAAAGGATTGCACGTAGTCTGTCTTTAATGTAAAGCACTTTCATATAAACCTCTTCCAAGCGCTCCATTTAGATGAATGCATTATTGGAAATTAGCGGCTCTTTCAGGAAATAAAGCAGGGCTGCCTGGAAGTAAACATTTACTTCAGTTTGCTAAGCGTTTTGTTTCTGAGTTGGAAAATATTTTATCTGCCCAACCATAACACGAAACCCGGTCCATTAATTGTCACGCTTCTTGTAGCATGGGGGAGGGGAGGAAGGGGGAAGGGATGCACACATTCCCAGAACAACTCCAAATGAGAAGGAAAACAGCTGTTTCTCCAGAATTCTCCTGGACAGGAATTAAAGCTGTCCAGTAAAACCTGAAGCTAAAGATCATAAAATGATAGAAGGACACCCAATGTCTGGAGAGGGGGGGAAAAAAAGGCAAGAACCCCAGCTCTGAAGTTGACTGTTCATGGGGCTCAGCTCCTACAAGCTGAGGGTCAAGATAGATGCTGCCACACAGAACGGATGAAGTACTGTGGACACTAGCTGTTGGCACATAAAGAAAGGGAGTAAGCCATGTGATGGAGGAGGGTTATCTGTCCATTGTGTTATTTTCATTGGTCAATAAAGAGACTGCCTTGGCCCCTTGATAAGACAGAAAATTAGGTAGGCGGAGTAAACAGAACAAAATGCTGGGAAGAGGGCGATGAGGCAGATGCCATGGAGCCAGCCACCAGGCCAGACATGCTGAATCTTTTCCGGTAAGCCACTACCTCGTGGTGAGATACAGATTAATAGAAATGGGTTAATATCAAGATATGAGAGTTAGTCAGTAACTAACTCTCTAGAGATAATGGGCCAGGCAGTACTTAAATGAATACAATTTGTGTGTTATTATTTCTGGGGCTAAGCTAGCCGTGCGGGAGCTGGGCAGGATGAAAAGCAGGCCTGCCTGCAGCTCCTTACTACAGCCATGCCCTCAGGAGGAAGTGGGTCTGGACGAGGTTAGTGGCCACAGCACATTTAGACGCATCCTTCTCTTCCCAGTGCTGTGAGGGACTCAACCTCTGATGCCACCTTTAGATGGTGATCTTGGAGCCAGGTCTTGTCCTGCTGGGCTGGACTGGAAGTAACAGGCTTAGGGTTTCTTCTTTTGAAATAATTCCTGTTTTTATACACAGGCTTTCTCAAATCGACCTGCAGTTTTAGGACATGCCTCATCTTTGAAGGGCATTTTGTAAAATGTGACCAAGCAGCACAGCCCCGCTTCAGGGTTTTCTGGCTGAGAGTAATTTCCCTGCGACTGTGATGATCCATACCAATAGTCATCCGGAGGCAAACCTCTGAGCATGGCTGTGAGGGAGTTCTAATTAAGTTACCTGAGGAGGTTAAACCCACCTTAACTATGGGCAGTGCCATTCTATGGACAGGGAGTGGAGTCCTGGAGGGGACCCATGTGGTGGCATACACCTTTAATCTCTACACTTGGGAAGCAGAGGCGGATGAATTTCTGAATTCAAGGCTAACTTGTTCTAAAAGATGAGTTCCAGATCACTCAGGACTATACACTAAGACCTGGTCCTGAGAACAAAATAAAATAAAATAGAAAGGAGAATGTCGTGAGCCACATTTCGGGGTGACTTCTGCCAGGCTCCTAGCCACAGCAGGTTCATTCATTCCAGGGTAGGGGCGTGAAGATTAGAAAAGTTAGGCAGGAGGAACAGAGATAAGAAAGAAACACATAAAGACGTAGGATAGTATCAGGGGGGCCACTCAACCTCTATAGCATATTGAGTTCTTACTTCTTTGAGTTCTGAGTCTGCCCATGTTTAATTTTCCATACACCTTTATTCCCCAATACAAAAGAGGGAAGAAAGCAAAAGACTGCTTTGGCATGATACAAAGGGCTACTCGAACAGTTACTTGCTCCAATACTTGAGATATCAAGCCATTGTTTCTGTTGTTTGGGTAATGAATTCACCCTAGACCAAGTATCCTGAAGGCAGCCACTCCTTAGGTCAAAACTTTCTTTCTTTCTTTCTTTCTTTCTTTCTTTCTTTCTTTCTTTCTTTCTTT